AAGATCCACTGTATTTATGAGCCAGTGTGTGGAAGGCAGGATGCTCAAAATAAGTCTTTGATCAAGGCAAGATTATACTTACTGTATCATATTATATTTGACTCTTGCAAGGAACTCCAAGCCTAGTAAAGCTACATGAGCTACATATTCACCCAAGATCTATTTTACAACCCCTTACGTCCTCTTAAGGGAGATGTATGCTTCCACAGAGCTTTCGTTTTTGTTAGGAAAGATCATAAAGAAGAATGGCATAGTTGATTTGATATAGCCTCTAATTTCCAAACATCATAATTGCAAATAGCCAGGAATCATTAAAAAAAGGAAAGAAGACTTGGCTGGAAGGATGGAATCCTGTCATTTGCATGTCAATTTAACCATCGGAAATAATAAATATTTTCAGGAGGATGAGCTACAACATTCTCTAGTAAGGTTGAGGAAGGCTTCCTCTCTGCTATGGTTTTTAGAAAACTAGTGAGGATATGATTTTGCTCAGATAGAAATGGGCGTATATTAATTATGGCTTCCTCTAATTCTTCCTCATTATCTAAGTCCTGAATTAAAGTGGATGGTTCCTTCCCCCAAATCAGATAAAAGAAAATCAAGGAACCACTTATTACTGTATAATCTGAATCTGAATCTCTGTCTAGAGGTACAGATCCTTGCTTAACAGTAGTGAGTGAGTTCTCATCTAATGGCAGGATTCAAACCAATGGCTACCTGGCTAACATTTCAACTATACCTCCTGCAAATTCTTACTGTGTTGCAAAGTGCTCTTGAACAAACAGCAAGTCTTTCCTTTTGCTCTTCATTGAGCAAGCACACAGGACTATTTACAACACCCATAAAGCAGTAACACCTCCTGAGTTCAAAAAACATTTGTTTCACCACAGAGGAGAAATCGGAGGCTTGGAAATGAAACCGGTTCAAGATATCGCTTGTATGATTTTTTTTTATGACCCAATCCTGAAAGGTTTTATTCCTAGTCAATGTAGTCATTTTCTCCTTTTTTTATTAACTTGCCGAACCAGTCAATAAAGAAAAGGAGCTTGTTTACATGCCCATTGGATACGTGAAGCGGGCAAAAGGACAGCTATTACTGAACACAGTGAAATGCACACAAAATTTCCCAAGTTTCACAAGACCTTCTCCTGGCCACTAGGCTAAATGTAAACATAGCATTTTTTCTCTCCAACATGGTGGACTTTGATTTCTACATCGAGAGAGGGGCCTCTTTCAAAGGAGATGGCAGACCACAACCTTCATAGGCCTAAACAGTTAAACATTTTCATGGAAACTGGAGAACACTAGATGGAAGGAGACAATATGTTTTCTCAGTTCCTTCCTTAAACATTTTTAATTTATGTGCCACTGCATTTTCAAAAACAAAAACCCGCCTCCTGAGATATCCTGAGGCCAACCTTTCTTGCCCGTTCTGCTTTGAGGAGGCATTTTTGTCCACAAACTCATCCTATAATTTCACTTGCAGAAGTTTCCATTGTCACCACACTTCTCTTGCTTTTGTACATAGGGTTAAATGTGGCTTCGGTTTCGCCTATTCATTTTAATACACTCCCCCATCTTTTCAGCTTCCACATCAGGATAAAAATAACCTCTAAAGTAAAAGGTGGAGAACTGTGGCCCTTTTACGACTTGGGGATTTCAGCTCCCAGAATTCCTGAAGTAGACATGTTGGCTTAGGAATTCTGGGAATTAAAAGTCCACAACTCGTAAAGAGGCCATATTTTCTCACATCTCCTCTAAAGCTATTATTTCCTGGCTTTCCAGTGAGAGAATGTAACACACCTGTCCCAGTCAACTCTTTTCATACTCTACATAAATGACCTCTGTGATCATATCAAGAGGAACTGTGTTCTCTTCACTGATGATGTAAAGTTATTCAACACCACAGACAATACTGCTACACTTCAAAAAGACCTTGACTATGTATCAGAATGGTCAAACAAATGGCAACTTCAAATCTCAACAAATAAATGCTCTGTCCTACATATTGGCAAAAAAAATCAGAAAATAAAATACAGGCTGAATAGTCAAGACCTTGTTGATGATCCAAACTCTGTCAAGGACCTTGGAGTAATCATCTCTAATGATCTAAGTGCTAGAGCCCACTGTAACCACATAGCCAAAAAGGTATTAAGAGTTCTTAACCTAATCTTACATAGCTTTTTCTCTGGTAATATCACACTACTAACTAGAGCATACAAAACATTTGCTAGACCAATATTCGAATACAGCTCATCAGTCTGGAACCCACATTACGTAGCTGATATTAACACAGTTGAGAAAGTCCAGAAATATTTCACAAGAAGAGTTCTCCACTCCTCTACTCATTGCAGAATACCTTATGCCACCAGACTTGAAATTCTAGACCTAGAAAACCCAGAACTACGCTGCCTTCGGTCCAATCGAAGTGTAGTATATAAAATCATACATTGCAATGTCCTACCTGTCAATGAATACTTCAGCTTCAACCATAACAACACAGGAGCAAACAGTAGATACAAACTCAAGGTTAATCGCACCAAACTTGATTGCAGGAAATACGACTTCAGCAACAGAGTGGTCAATGTCTGGAATACCCTACCTGACTCTGGTTTTTTTTCCCCCAAACCCCAAAAACTTTAACCTTAGACTGTCTACTATTGACCTCACCCCTTTCCTATGGGGGGGTCTGTAGGGGGCGTGCATGAGCACACCAACGTGCCTACCGTCCCTGTCCTATTGTTTATTTTATTTATTTTATATTTTTTTATATTCATAACTATGTTTTTACTTATACCTATTATCTTGTAAGCAATTGACGAATAAATAAAATAAATAAAAATAAAATAAACAATGCCTAGTATCAACACCGTTACGTGGTCAGTACTCCAAGGGAATCTCAGCATTTATCTGCTAAACCACAAGTCAGCAATAAATCCTCTGGATGGCCTTTAGCTCAGTTTCTCTCTCTCTCTCTCTCTCTGTGTCTCTCTCTCCCTCCCTCCCTCAATTTGTATTTGGTAAAATGAGTACAAGAGTCACCTTCCTCTTTGGCAAGCAATATATATCAGCCAAGACAATTGCTCTGCAAATTATTAATAATAATCTTTTTCCATAGCTGCATCAAAATGGTTTTAGGCATTTTGGGGTTAAATGCATCCAGTTAGAATGTTAAAACAATATAAGCCAATTTGAAGGGCATCAGATTGAAGAAGACGCTGAAGAAATTGTGCTAGAAAAGAAAATGTCTTGTAATGTTCAGATATTTTCTTAAGTTCCTCAGCAGATTAAAAGGCCATTGGAGGTCAGGGGGCAAGTTGGCAGAGTGATCAGTCTGTGATTTTTAACAAAATTCCTAATGTAATATTGATTACCTTGGAAAATCCTTTGTAATAGTTGGATTGCAAATCTAAATTCATTCCGGTAATTGCCTTAACTATTAACTGCCTCTCCCACATGGGAAGAAAAGGATGACACCCCCAAACCTTCTCATATAGTTATCTCCCAAAGTGTCAGTTTCAGAAAATGGTTGTTGTGATACCTAGTTTTTGTAAGGAATCCATTTTCCACAGAGATTGGGAGGCATCTTTTTTTTCAAAGGAAGGCTGTGGATTTTTTTTAAAATTTAAATGAATAGATATGCTTGATTACTAAATACAGAAAATTAGACACAAAGCTGCCAATTGTATATTTATTTCACTCTTGTGCTGTTGTTAGCAGAGGAACTTGTAATATAAGAAAGAGGCAACCAAGAATTAAAAGACTTTAGTCCTAGAATTTGCTTTTCAGTGCTGTGCTACAGATGAAAAGACTGCTCAAAATACTAATATTTTGTACCAATGTTTGTGTCAGCTTCTTAGACCAGCCTAGTATTTTATTCCCCCTTAAAATCCTCTGTGCCAAGGCTGCTACTAAAACTTGTTAGGAAGTTAGCTTATTCCGAAGGAGCTTGCTTACATCTTCTTCCTTTAAACTGACACAACCAGCAGAAATTCTGCAATTTATTAGTATCTGTTCCACATTTGTGACTAGTTGAACACAACTAGAAACAAAACCTAATTCCCTGAATTTTAGCATTCTCAAAGGCGAACTAGTCCGATCTCCCACAGGATGCAATAAAACAGTTTTATTGAATGCATATATATTTGCATGTCCTGGAAATTTCTTCCCCCCTCCCCCCCCCTTTGGAAATTCAGATTTGAAAGTCTTCTGGTTGGCAGCTAACAAATCGTGATTAAATCCAAAAAACAATCAGGGAAACTTTTAAATATACATAAAACATACCGCTCCAGGACAGGAATAGAACATTCTGAACTTCTTCAGAATGATCTGTGACTCCTCCATATCATAATTTGGTTGACCACTGCCTAAAACAGTAAGTTCTACACACACACACACACACACACACACACACACACACACACACACTTTATAATAGGCTGTCTGTTGTTGGCTCTGGCAAAACATGAGCAAGGATAAGTGACCCACAGTGACCTGGTTTATATAATAAAAAGAATCCGGCCTATAGAGTGAACTCAGACTGAGAAGATAAACAGATTAACAGAGTTGGAAGGGACCTTGTAGGTCATCTAGTCTAACCCCCTGCTCAAGCAGGAAACTCTATACCATTTCGGACAGATGGCATCTTTGAAGAAGATACAAGATCAGAAAGTCTACCCTACACTTTACCCTTGTGTAGGCTTGAGCAAAGCTCACCAATTGCCTGGTTTCATAAGATATACAGAAAGTCTCCTGAAATACTCTCTTCTCAATTTAGAGTCAAACTGGTCGTAACACAAGGAGGTTTATGGCTAGATATTTCAACATATTCATTTTATCTAAATCTATTCTGGCGTGGAAGGAGAAAAGCATAATGCTTTCCTTGTTAAAATAAACATCCTCTGTTACTATTGTTAGTAAAAAAAAAAATACAGAAAAAACAATTACTACCAACCTGCCTTCCATCGAAGACCTGTATACTGCATGATTCAAAAAGAGGGCTAAGAAAATATTTACAGACCCCTCAAATCCCGGACATAAACTGCTTCAACTCCTTCCCTCAAAACGACGCTATAGAACACTGCACACCAGAACAACTAGACACAAGGACAGTTTTTCCCTGAACGCCATCACTCTGCTAAACAACTAATTCCCTCAATACTGTCCAACTATTTACAAAGTCTGCACGATTATTACTATTAATCTTCTCATTGCTGCTTATCACCCACCCCTCCCACTTGTGACTGTATGACTGTAACTTTGTCGCTTGTATCCTTCCAATTTATATGGACTGTTTCCTAGGATGATTTGATTGCTTATTGTACCCTATGACTACTATTAAGTGTTGTACCTTATGATTCTTGATGAATGTTTTTTCTTTTCTTTTATGAACACTGAGAGCATAATGCACCAAGAAAATTCCTTATGTGTCCAGGAAAAAAAATATGTTTTGAAAAATTAAATAAACATGTTAAGATTTCCCCAAGAATCATCTAATCCAGGGCTGTCAAACTTGCTGCCCACAGGCCAGATGCGTCACGCACTGGCCACACCCACGCCTGGTTTAGTGAAGGGGAAAAAAGTTGTGATACATCATGTGACGCCGCGAGTTTGACACCCCTTATCTAATCTGACTCAAATCTTTTGCTGATATACAGGGGAGTTAAGTTCCACTGTACACAATGGTCTTCCTTTTAAAAGAGCAATGGAATTTTGTTTTAGGTAGTAGTCTATGATTTACAATCATTCATTTAGTGACCGTTCAAAGTTACAAGAGCATTGAAAAATGATTTCTCCGTTTTTCACACTTATTCCATTGCATCTTCATATGATCAAAATTCAGATGCTTGGCAACTGGCCATGTATTTATGACGGTTGCAGTGTCCCGGGGTCATGTGATCACCTTTGGCGACCACCTGACAAGCAAAGTCAATGGGGAAGCCAGATTCACTTAACAACCATGTTACTAACTGAACAACTGCAGTGATTCACTTAACAAACTGTAGCAAGAAAGGTTGCAAAATGGGACAAAACTCACTTAACAGAACTTTTGAGCTCAATTGTGATTGTAAGCCAAGGGCTACTTGTAATTTTCAAAGAAGACTGCTACATCAACACACTTATTACTCTTTATTTGAAACCATCACACCTCTTTTGTTCATGTTGAGCCTTTGGACAAACAGCAACTGCTTTATCGTATTTGCAGTCACAGTAAATCAGAAAACTAACAGCAAAATGCATATAAGACTGAGAAAAATGAATACAATAGCAGCTGTAAATACTTATCTACATAGGTTTTAAACCTCAAACTTCTCTAGTGTTTTTTATATAATTGTAGGCCACCCATAAGCTAATTCATTCAATATTACTCTCACACACTCATATCCCTATACTTTAATGACATTTTGCTGTCATAATGGCTCGGATGATACAGCAACTTGTAGAAACTTGCTATTGGGAGTATGGCTAATGAGTACTGGGTTAACACAAATCTGATTTACTCAAACCTGTAATTTCCAGATGTGTTGAGATTACAATTCCAATAATTCCTCATCACTTCTGTCACAACTTTCCCGGGAAGGCCCAGGGTTGGGGTACAGTTGCTGTAATATATATTGCCATCAAGGCAGAAAGCAAAATACTATACATTATCCAAAAAATAAAAAAACAAATTTTCTGTTGAAATTCTATTTTTTGATTATCAGAATTCTCCATAGCTGTAATTTATAGCTTTATTTCAGATGTCACATCAAACCACTATTAAGAAATACTCCAACTGGGTTCATACATCATGCCAAGTCTTAATGTACTTTGTTTAGTTTTGGCTTGGTGTGCTGTGAGAACTCAGCTCCAGTAATTTGTAAACATGGTTTATGGCTCAGTAAAAAACAAATTTAGCCAACTGTTACTTATTCAACAAAATACATGAACTCTGTTTATAGGTTGACACCATGCTTGCTGGACAAACTATAATTCACAACTACTTATACTTGTGAAGACCTTTACACATAATATTTATATTTTTCATTAGAGACTCAGTTCAAATATAATGCAAAAGCATGATTTGACATTATGACTATAGCATGGTCCTTGATAGTTTGTTTGCTCACCTATCACTTTCTTGACAAGTGTGGAAAGGAAGCTTAATGTTTGCATTTGCAGTTTCCCATTATGGTCAAATATGGGGAATGTTTGTTTTACAATAATTGTTAGGAAAACAGGTGATTACTTAAAGAGTTGATCCTATATCTGCTTAGACAGGCGTACACTTTTAATTCCAAGAGTTAGAATTTTGAATGCTAAAAGCTACAAATTCATGGAATGGCAGACTGCATGAATTGAATTAAACTGACTGCCTGATTTCAACCTTGTATTGAACATAGAAGATAGTATTGACTGTTTCCTAGTATGATTTGATTGCTTATTGTACCCTATGACTATTATTAAGTGTTGTATCTTATGCTTCTTGACGAATGTATCTTTCTAATACTTGAGGGTCTGCCACAAAAAGAGTGGGTCAACTTATTCTCCAAAGTGCCTGAAGCAACCTAGAACTAAGGAGAAACTTCCTGACAGGGAAAACAATCAACCAGTGAAACGGCTTGCCTCCCTCCAGAAGTTATGGGTGCTTCATCACTGGAGGTTTTTAAGAAGAGATTGGAAAGCCATTTGTCTGAAATAGTAGATGATTTTCTGCCTGAACAAGGTGTTGGACTAGAAGACCTCCAAGGTCCCTTCCAATTCTGTTATCACCTTTTCAATTGCTTGGCAAATTGCTTCTCCAGCCATTTATGCCTATTCTCCAACTCAAGAATGCAATAATGGAAGGAAAAACAAAATGGGACGTGATATGAAGATTTGAAATACATGCACAAATGCACACAAACACACAGCGCGCACACACACACACTATTATCCTTCCTAGTTTTAGTTATAGAGGAAAAAGAGGGGCTCAAAGACTGAGAACGCCAAAGTCGAAGCCAGCTGGCTCCTTCTCAGAGTAGTAAAAAGTTATGAGACCTGCAGTGCAGTGAACAGTACAGTACAGCCCTGAGGCATCTCCTTATGCAGTTTTGATGGATCACATTTCAAAATGTGGGGCTACCTTTATCAGCATTAGCCCAGAATGTCTATCTTTTGGAGCCTGTAAGCCTGTTGTGAGAAGTCCCAAAACTCTTTTTCTCCATATATGTGGCCCTAAATTAAAACTCAGCATGCCCAACGTATCTTTGTCACCTTAAATCAAGCATAATGTGTCGCGCCACTGAACATTTCTTCCAATTCAGAACACACCCAACATGGTCTAATCAGACAGCTTATGCCACGAAACGCCTCAACCAGCAAGCCAGCCATTATTTCCACCACAGAGGCTTGGTTTTTTTTTTTTTTTTTGATCAGGCACATAACTAAACCTTATCTCATGTTCCCCATGTTGAAAGTAAATCTCCACGGTACCTCAGTTTGACACTGTAAAAGGTGAGGAGACTGTGAACAAAGGCCTCACAATAGCCATAACTCTTCCATAGGCCAGAGGTGGGCCTTTTATAATTTATGGACTTCAGCTCCCAGAATTCCTGAGCCTGTATGGCTGCCTCAGGAATTCTGGGAGTTAAAGTTCACAAGTCATAAAAGCACCACAGTTCCCTGCCCTTGCCAGATCATATGCTCTGGAAATTAAGAGGAAGGGACTCACAGACCACTTGCCTTTTGGGTTTAGAAAGACCCGCATGAGATACTGCATCTTCTTTTGCAAAGTTGTACTTTTGCCAAAGGTTCCCTTGAACACAAAAAAACTCTTAAAAGAGGAAGTAGTGATACAGGCAAATTGGCTGTCAGAAAGACTTGAATAGGATTAACAATGCTAATGATTATACATAGTTCCCAGTTAAGAGAGTTGGCAAGAATTAATGCAAGCTCAGCACTCTTCTTTCACTCACAAATGGGAAGGTCATTTCTCCCCCGCCCCCTCTGCCTGTGCAGCAAGGAGTAATTGGGCTGAAATGGGAGGGAAGAAATTTCCAGGGACTTCTGGCTTCCCCTTTTCCAAGGGAACACTGCATGACTGTCCTCAGCTATTTCAAATTGGCATGCTTTTGAAACAATGGCTGCGTTGTGTGCTTCCAAAATATACGTCTGGAGAAAAGCAAAACGTTCTTTTCAGAAATTTATACACATTTTTCTGACCCAATGACAGATCATTTAGCTCAGTCTACATTCAAGGCCTCTGATAAAATATTTTAAAGAAGACCTCTGATTAAGATCTATTTTGGGTTTAAAGCTCCAGATTTTGTAATTGTATCTTTTGAAACATAAAAAAAATGATTTGAACAACAACAACAACAACCTGGGAGAATAAAGATCTGCCTAGAGATTCAGTAGGTGAAATATTCACAACTTTGATTCCCCCCTTGATCTAATAAATGTGAGTTTCAAGAAAATTGTTTATCTCTGGCACAATTGATTAAGACTGTAATTTCTTTTCAATTAAGTGACTTGTTCTGTTGTTTTTCAGTTTACTCTTTTTGTTCACTGCCCAGATAGTAAAATGGAAGACAATATAAACTGTTTATACAAATATATAAACAGAGTAGTGTATATTTTCAAATTAGCTAGATAGTCAAATCTGCTAAATCTGTTAATCTAATTGCACAGTTCTCACTGTCACACTTTAGATAAGGTGCAAAAGAGATGTGTAGAATAACAAGTTCTTTATTGACCTATTAAGATATAGGATTCTGATTAATTGAGCACTACGCTTAAGCATTACTATGCCACTTAAAGTCTGACTTTAAAGGTTCACGGTAATAACGCTGCTATCACTGAAGGTAAACATCCCACTCGATGGTTGGAGTGCAGAACTAAAGAAATTCAGGCACAGAACTTGAGTTTTCAGCATCAGGCCACAACTCTGCAATTCCAGCCTGGGCATATCCAGTAGAATTTCTAATGCCATTCTACTTGTGTCTACTCAAAACAACTGATTAAAAACAACCTGCACTTGGATGTGATACAACTCAGTTTAATTGGGATGTGAAAATTAGTGAA